TTTTGACTAAAAACTACCCCTACCCCCTCGCTGCGCAGTGGAACAAGATGCTGCTGGTGAATCAATGGGGTTTTCTTTTATCTTAATCTTAACCTATTCCGATCACAATTTTTTGCAATTCTCTCAGTCCGATACCTCAAATAAAACCCGTCCATAAAATACGTTCGCAGCCAAAAATGCGAGATATATATATATATTACAAAGTCGTCTTTATTTTCCAAAAATTCTGCCACTGGTAATGGATGGACTGTTCTCCGGATTCTGCACAGGTACTGTTTTGAAAAATTGCTAAATTTCTCGATTTCACACTTGGCTTTTTTCCGTACTTGATAGAGTCTGAAAACGGATTCCTCTTTCAGAATTGCCTTCCGGCAACGTATGGAACGGTTTTTGAATGAAATCCAAGGACTACTGTCATACAATTGAGACGAGCGAGGACGACTCCGTGAGAAGGGACCGGTGCTTTGCTACTAATGGTGATAATAATAATGATCTGTTTGACGCGTAAACGCACGTCCTCAACTAGGTTTTACATTTTTATCAATACTATGCGAACACCTGATAACATATCCATATTATTGGATAACAGCATGTTTCGACTCTGATCCCCTTCTGAGTTCGCTTGGGACAGTTTATTACAAAACCCGCATTACGGTGATAGAAGATGTGCTTTTGCTGTGTGCTAGCCGGTTACTCCCACGCCACTCGTTCTAGGAATTCAGCAGAACCACTAGTGTCAAAGTGAGGCGCGCTGAAATTTGTGTAGCCTTTATCTCGAAATGAATATCGCAGCTGTTTGTGGATATGTGGGTATTTTTGTTTACTGCGAATTGCTTTATGGCGCTATCGTCAGATAAGGGGCATTGTGATGGCAGTCCATTCAAAACAGCATAAAACATCTCCTCTCCCTGAAAAACAGGACTAAACTTTGAGCTGGTGAGGATAGACTTCACAGGGCGTGAACAGCTTTCATTTCCCCTGAAACTTCAGACGACGGCGTGAGCAGGTTTCTTTTCCCCCGGGAATCCTGCCTCATCCCAAGCTTAGTCCAAGAAAATGCTCCCTTATCTTACGATAGCGCCTGCTTCACAGTGAATCCGTAGTTTATCCCGAGACCATGAGTTTTTTGGAGAAATTGATTGCAACTAGTCGTTTTACGTGTGTGCGACTATTCAAATCTTACATTAAATGTACGATCCAGCGAGGCCCGACATCTTCAGGGAATTGCTCAAAATTCGACTGCTGATCAACTAGTGATGAAATATTGCTGCCTTTAGTGGTTTCACTTGCTAAAGCGATAGATGTAAAAGTCCTAACTTGCTGATGGAAATTGATCTTCAACAAATAGGTCTGCTGTTTGGTGCAAAACTAGTCTTGCGGGACACCTTGGCTTACTGGATCACTGGTTGAGCGAACGCTCGAGGGACTCCGCGGTACACGAGCTCTTTTTTGTTTTCCCTGTTTCTTCCTGGGGTTAGTGTTTGCCGTAACCAGAACTAAGGTGTTGTTCCACCCAACAGTTTTGCACCCACTGTTCTACTATAGAAAATCCATTACAATTCTAATCCCGTCTGCGCTCTTCATTGGCCGAAGTTAACAATTTCTTTCAAATCGTCAGAATTTTTTTTATTCTCGAAGGCACGTTCCATGACTGCGAAGTTTTGCGTTTAGGGCCCAACAATGAGTCTCTGAAAAACGTTTAAAAGGCACCCAAATTTTGAGTTAGTGTCTTTTCTTAGTGCACCTCGAGTGCTGTGTGAGTATGACTGAAGAGACAGTGGGCACCAAGGCGAGGAAACAGACGTCGGGAGAATGAGGGCGCGAAGAGACGATCGGAAATCACGCAGACGTCGCTTATGAAGTCAATATCAAGTATGAGTCACGCACAGAGGTAGTCGCCGCGTTCCCGGTGCCTTCTCGCGCACCTTTGAGGTCATGGATAGGAATTAGGTCCCAAAAGGTGCATCGAGTCGCAAGAGGGGTTCCTAAGCTAAGGAGTTGCGACACTGTCAGGATTCAAAAGTGCGCGGGAAGGGCGCAAGGCCTTGAAGCGAATAAGCCATTTTAGACAGAGGTGAGCACCCGAAGTAAGCGTAAATTACGATGTTCCTGCCGCAGTCACGTACAATGCGCGTCGCATCGACGCGCTTTCTGGAGTAACAATCCTACAGGTTTCGCAAACAATGAAGCTACCCCTGCTCTTCGAGGTAGCAATCCAAAATGGTGGAGCGTCGCAGAGCTGTGTCTCTCCGAAATACCACGGCTATTCTCACAAGGGAATGTTCCATGTTTTCTATGGGCTTTTTGCTTTTTCTCCCCCCTCACGTTCCTCATAGCACTTCTTGCCCAATTTTCGCCAAAATAACCTACCAATTTGATTCCGACCCGTGCCCTTTAGTCACGAAGTTGGAACCGCCTTCATGCTTATGGACCAGTCGCCTTCACTGACGAAGGGGATCCTTTCAGTCGTCTAGTCGTGGGACGTGCCTTTGAGATTTGTTTTCGCAGTGCCGTATCTTTGATCGCTCTGATGCACGAGGGCTTTGTTCTTTTCGTGGTCCCTTTCGAGCTAGCAAGCAAACAAAGTAAAGGAATAAGAAGTGTGCGTGTTCTATGTATCAACAGTGCATAATGTTCGAATCCTTCAGAGGAATCTGTGAGAGGCAGTCTTATGTCGCTGAGCGGCCTGTAGAAATGCAAGCCCATGGTGACAGTTCAAAATATCTCCTTTGATCTATGTAATGATATGGTTGATGTAGTCAAATGCAGTTGTACGGTGATGAAATTTAATGGTTTCATTGAAGCCTTAAATTATATATTAATGCGTGTCTTTGATGTGTACTTCAGTAGTTGTTTTTGTTTATATCCTTTTGTTTCAAAAATTGGAAAATCGCGATCAATATGTATATTTTTGCTGTTTGATTAAATGAATTCAGATTACGCTTGGTGTGCTGAAAATCCTCCACCAAGAATTCCATCTAGCCAAGGTTATGTAGCAAGACGAGTGCCGTGCAGTTTTGTTTGATAAAATTAATGTTCAGAACAGTTCCTGGGAATGAGCCTTGCCTTCAACATTGGCCAGCAACCGTGGGTATAATTGGTAGGATCTGGGGCGCACCATAGTTTTCATGGTACGACGGCATTCAGAAACTCGGAGTTCATATAACAACGCGGCCAGGCGCCGGATACGGACACGACAAAGCTAATGTCTGGTCTTGGTCTTGGTCTTGTTTACCACTCCAATTCATTATTTAGGTCAAATATGGGCGCTGATACACTCAAGGGGGTAGGGAGGTATTTTAGGCGAAGAGCCCAGCACACTCGGTAGTCTCCCTCCTGCCCTCCCCTCTCCTTAAGGCTAAGCCTCAAGGAGGACCAGAAGAAGGGTGTGTTCGAGCAGTTTTCATTATACCAAGGTCTCTTCTTCTAGGCTCAGTCCGCATAGCATCCTCTCCGCTAGTAGGATGTGAGGGAAGGTCAAATGCGGTTCTTATCCGGAAAATAGGCTGAGCAACGCTCAACGCTTTGTCCTTTGAAAACTACTTTATTTCTAAGGGAGCGTCCATGCTTTGGTAGAGGCGATTAGGGGACTAACTGCAAGGAAAAGGAAACGTATTGATTAGGGCGGGGGGAGGGGTTGGTCCGCTCGCTAGGATTGAAAGCGATTTTTCCGCTTCTTGTGCCGCGGAACTTTTTTGGCTGCGAGAACACCAGGTGCACGCCTGATCGTGTTGGGTTGTTTTTTGCAGAGTAGAAATTGGACCGTCAAGCAAATTCGATAGACCGAATGTGAAGAGGAAGCTTCAGAACGCGCACGCATTCTGGCGCTGGTGTCGCAGGGTGAGGCATCATAGCGCAGGCTAAGCCTAGAAAGAGAGAAGGGACTTCGAGATAAAATAAGAATTGCTCGGGAACTCCCTTTCCTAGTCTCTCCCTTAGGCTTAGTCTTAGGGATGGGGGTTAGACGCATAGGGCATCCTCCAGAACTGAGCGTAGGAGAGGGCAGGATCATCGGGGAAAATGAAAATTGCTGAAGCACCATGGATTCTCTGCACGGTGCTCATGTCCTTAAAGGGAACATTCAAAACAGGGCATTCAAAAACCGCTGGTAGGTGACACTAGGACTAAGCCCAGGATTGGGAATAAACACCAGGGAGAACAATGGTTGCTCACATCCTCTCCCAGAATCCTTTCCCCTCCCTAAGGCTTAGTCCCGAGTTCTATGAGTGGCCCACTCACTTCAAAGTCCCCCTATGGACATGAGCGCCCTCTCCTGCTTCGCCTAAGACTTGGTATTGTTTGCAAAAGAAAGGGAGGGCGCTCATGTCCTTAGGGGGGACATTCAGAACAGGGCATTCAAAAACCGCTGGTAGGTGACACTAGGACTAAGCCCAGGACTGGGAATAAACACAAGGGAGAACAATGGTTGCCCACAATTTCTTTCCCTTCCCTAAAGCTTAGTCCTGAGTTTTATCAGTGGCCCACCCACTCCAATGTCCCCCCCCTAAGGACACGAGCGCCAAGGAAGATTCCTGACATAGTTCAAAATGCAAACGGTTGACAACCAAGCCCGTCTTTTACCATAGCGCCAATGATGCATTACCGACGACACCAGTGCCCACATTCCAACCTTTCTCCGTGATTAGTGAGGCGAGTTTTCGAAATAGTGGGAAGTTCAGGCTCATTTTTAACGAGCTTCTTCCTTATAGCGGTCTCTTCCATGTCGGCGTTATTGTGGATGCATAGGCTGCCTTTTTTATCAGGTTATATCGGTCTCTACTACAGAATCCCATTGATAAGCACGCCCATTAAGAACTCTAACGCCTGAGGGCTTGTCAAGTCAATTACTGTTGGATCAAGAAGTGTGCACTTGTGTCTTGCTAGACCATTGTCATGAACGCAAGCATTATACGAGGCTGGATTCTTCAGCAGCATTAAACAAGGCTCATCTCTAACGAACCCCATGTGGAATCCACCGCACCTCTCCCGTCCATCCGCAGGGCATGTTAGCTACATCGGACGCAAGTCTTGGACCCACGCATGGACCCTAACAAATCCAGAGGATTCAGGGGAATCGAGTAACGCTAGATATGCTTTTCGCCTTTTCTCCACATCTGCAATGATCTTAGGATGACACCTACAAGCACTGTATTTAGTTCCATATTGTGCTCATCCCGTTAGGCAGCATTCATGCTTTGCGATCATAAACGATATTAGGCGATTAAGCGAGGATTCAAACAGTATACGTATCGAATAAGCAAATAGGCGATCAGGCAACCGCTCAGCGGACGGAGCTAACCAATCAATACTCCCCTGATCGCCTATGGAGCGTTCATAGTTGGCGATCGTACGTGCGATTAGGCGATTAGGCGATTAGGCGATTAGGCGAGTAGTCGATTAGGCGAGTAGGCGAGTAGGCGATAAGAGAAGGATACGTATTGATTTGTTGCTCCGCCCATTGAGCGATCGCCTAATCGCCTAATCGCCTACTCGCCTAATCGCCTAATCTATACATATTTTTCATCGCAGACTAATCGCCTAATCGCCTAATCGCACGCACGGTAAGCGACTCTGAACACTCTATTATTCAAGGATGGGGTTCGCGGACAGGGAGCGACTTTTCCGCTGTTCGCAAGGAGCCCCAAGGCCACCACTGATCATGCGTGTACCTGGGGTTCCCCAGCGAAAAAAGTTTCGCGGTGCGAGAAGCAGAAAAGTTGCTTTCTGTTCCAGCGGAGCAACCCCCGTGCAGTCGCCTAATCGATACGTGTCCTTTTCCTCACAGGTTAGTCGCCTAATCGCGCCTCTCGCAAACCATGGACGCTGCCTTAGAATTAAGGTAGTTTAGTGTGTTTATTGACAAACATAACATGAACATAAATATTTATTACAAATCTTTATACAGGTAATCGTTAGTGAAAGTTAGTTTTCTAAAATTAGCGGCTGCCGTGCAGATCGGCAATGACATTCGGTTCACACATAGGGGGTCTACACTGTCGCCAAAATAGACACATCAATTTAATTGAATAGGAGTCCCACCAACATACCGGTGCCGAGACCAACTGAGAGAGCGATTGACCGACCATTCTTCGTTTTAGCTTTTGCATCTGATTTATTCTGAGCAGCAATAGGAATTGTTGTTTGTTCGACTGCCAACGCCTCAGAAGCTGCTCCTTTGTCACCACCGCCGGTTGCTGCTGCAGCGGTAGCACCTGCACCACCGGTTGCACCAGCACCATCGGTTTCGTCGGTACCGTCATCAGTCGAGTCGTGCTCAGTAGCGCCTTCAGTGGCACCTCCTGTAGTAGATCCTTGCAGATTAGTTACCAGTAGGCCGCACAAGATAAGTACTGCTGAAATAAAACAAACTTATGGAAACTTAAACCTCTAATAGTTACAGGCAGCTTGTTCGGCACGGCCACTATTTTGGTATGACCCAAGTTTGCGCGATCGCACAAATCGCCCTTACCCGGGCGGTTCAGTGAGTCACCCGAAGGTCACTGCCAAATCGCCATGGCCATACCGAAATAATGCTAGTGATCTTAGTAACGTAGGAACATACTTAGTTGAAATCTGGACAGCTTCATGCTTGTCGAGGAATTGAGACGAAGGAGCGAGGTGTGTGTGAAGAATGACACCGACAGAATTTGCTTATATAGGGTCTCGCAGAAAATGAAAACTCACTGGTGATAAGCAGCATTTGTCGATAGACACCTTTCACTCGTTTTCATTCCTTGATTCACGAGTTTTCGTGAAAGGTTGAATGAAGCTTATCTGATGCTTCTGATGCACGAGTACATTGGGCGGTTGGCTTCGTTCTCTTCACCGCTCCACCCACGCCGTGATCGTCTTATTTTTATGCATTAGTTTAGGCTATTTGATCGATAACCTATTTCGCAACCCTTCTCCTATGATTTTTTGTGGGTGAAACATGGCCGGTCGTCATTGCCGTGTTCTCATATTTCATGCTTCCTTTTCGACAAATCAACCAGTAAGGGAGCGTTCATAGTTGGCGATCGTTCGCGCGATTAGGAGATTAGGCGATTAGGCGATAAGAGAAGGATGTGCATTGATTTGATGCTCCGCCAGGGTCAACCCTATGTTGCTACAAGTAGCAACGGGGGGGTCGTATTTTGATGAGTTTGTAGAGGGGGGTCGTACTTGCTTCGGTTGTAAGAAGTTGCATGTGATGAGTGGGGAGCGGCGCGGGAGAAAATTTGCCGTTTCAGCGCGCGTATATACTCTAGTAATATACCCCCCGACCGCTTGACGGTAATTTTTGGGGGGGGGGTGTGGTGAGGGGTAAGTTTCTGAAGAGGGGGCGGTGGCTGGGGGTGTGCTGGGAGGGATGAGTAGACGAGCGTTTGTGAGTGAGGGGGGTTGTAAAGTGAGCTGTGGTTTTGAAGAGAGTGAGTGTAGAGCAGAGCGAGTGTGATCGCGATCCTGTGCTCACGTAAGAGACCTTAACGGCTAATCGTGGCCCTCGCTTACCGTTCCGTTACACGGTCTGATGTGCGAAGCAGAATACCAACTCATATACGGTTATGTTCGGTTTCCTCTCCCCTCAATCGCCTACTCGGCGTCTGAGTGCTGTTCGTAGTGCTGTGGGGCCGACTGCGCCTATCGCCCTATTCGTGCTATTAATAATTTGTCATTTAGGTTTGACTGAATCGTCGCTGAGATCTGTCTGAGTGTGGTGGCGATGTGACGGTGTGTGCTGTGTTGATGAGTGGCTAGTCAGTGGTCGAGGGTGATGGGGGGGCTGAGTAGTCAGTAGTGTGTGATGCAAGTCAGTTGAGATTAATTCTAAACGACACTGTTGTTTGTTGTCCGCCCATTGAAAAGAATCGTCTAATCGCGTCTACTCCGCTATCAACGCTCAGAGTGGCGCGGAGCAAACAAAGTCTTATAATGCCTACTCGTATAATCGCCTTAATCGCATGTACCGATTCTGGCAATATCAAATAACATTTCATCAGTGGCAATGTACAATGGCGTATTCTGGCTATTTGCCTCGAGGTGCAATTCACACATTTTTTATCACCGGTTGTGCGCGTGTTTGGGTTGTATGGGGGTCTGTATTTATTAGATGAGTATTTTATATTATATTCATCTCTTCTCGTGGACGATATTTATGTCGGGTCCGTTGGGATGATGGGACATGGAGCGAAGTCAAGCCATCTTAAAACAAAACTCATTAGATGTACTAGGAAACTGGAGGGGAACTGTGATTTTGGAGGCAGATGAAGCAGCTTTCGTTCTCTCTTGGCTTTGAGCTCTCTTCATTGGGCTTTCGTCATAGTTTCAGCCTACAGCCTGTCTTCGTATGGCCTGTTGTTGAATGCCCCGTCCCCGGCCCGTCTTTTTACAGGACATCAGCGTTATGTTTCGAATCATACTTATTCGCGGCAGCACTATCGGGAGGACATGGTTATTGCGTTAAATCGGCGGTATAGTATCAATAAAAATAGCTCTATCGGGAACATCTGGTTTTAGAGATTGTCAGTGCGTGCTTTATGGATTGAGAAAAACCCGAGAAAAGCCTGTAGTTACGCAAAATTATAGACTCCCCTCTTTGCCCATTTGATTTCTACGTCTGATGCGGCTCTTCTTCGGTGCTCTCTTCAAATTCACTTCACGCCGCTTCTGTGCTTGAATTTTCGCCAGAGCAATCTGCGGCGCTGGGGTTGTAACGGTGGGCGCACCGCGCCGATTAGTGCGCGACAAGGTGCCATACCCTCGACTTGCCCTTTATTCATTGGGATTTATCCTGTCAGAAGCCTTATAGAATCCGCCTTTTGTATAATATCTGCACAATACTAGGTTCAATGGGTTATTATCCTGTATTTTCCTGGTGCTTTCCTTTGCATTTTGGGGGGTCTGGTCCACCTTATTAGGTTCTCTTAATTCTCCTCTTTTTATCGCATGCCTAGCTTTGTTTTTCTCCTGCCTTCTCTTTCCTTATTATGTTTTTTGTGGCGCAATTGGTAGGTTAGGTAATGGTTATACTGACGTCTTTTACTTAAAACATAGGTTTAGTTTGTCTTTGTGTCTGAGGAACTCGCGTGCATACGTGAACCCTTGCGGTCAGTCGTTTTGTTCAGTGATGTCTGTGGGTGTGTTAGGCTCTTCGACAATAGTCACTATATAGCATCTCTTCTTCATTCTTCTCCAACATATAATTGTATTTTAGTCCATATGAGACAATTAGTGTAGGCTTTCCCAGTCTACACTTCTTACCTTTGTGTGACATAAGCCTTGTAAACCAGTTCCCTTTCATGCTACTTCAACTCATTGCTAAGCCATACTAATGATTTCTTGGCTCTTCATTTTTAGAGGTAGATTTCATTGGTCTAACGGTACTTCCGCGTCCATTTATTTACTATGTGAATAACGTTATCAAATCCGAAAAGATTATTGTTGGACGTTGCGCACGATAACGCTACGGGATATGATCTTACGCTATCCGTGCAAAGTAGCTAGTCGCCGGCTGTCCAAAAACGAAAGCATCGATCGGCAGCAAAGCGGCACCATCTGAGTCGCTGTTTTCTTGATTTTTCTTCACTCCTGCAACTCCTTTCGACGTCTTTCGCCACCATTTCTCAACAACACTTTTCCCGTCATTTCCTTTGTAATCCTCTCAAACATGTCCCTTATGGGTTACAGGTACGAGTGAATTTCGAGGATTTGTCGGTGTTCACTTGGTTGAACGGAATGTGGTTTCCAACTATATATCTCACCAGCGAGGTGTATGTGATGGGCAGCTTCTCGAAGTCCCCACACTACGTCGTTGGGCGACGCGTCAGTTCGGCAATGCAATGACGAGTTTTTGTGCGTCCATTCAATGACATGTTTAAAGGCGACGCAAAGACTGCGCCCATTCCTTTTACATTCAACTAATCAGTGCGCCGATGGTTTCAGGTCCCTCAATCCTTTTCCTTTCAATATTGCCATAATGAACGTAGAAAACAAATTTAAGTGAAACTCGGGTTCGGGGGGGGGGGGCACGCGATGGCGCGACGCTCTGTTCGTCTGCTCCTCCATGGCTTAGTCCACAGGGACAGTTACCCTTTCGCTATTATGTGGCAGTTTCAAATTGCGCGTCGTCTGGTGCCTAAGCCGTGGTAAGCGAGACGAAAACAGCGCCGCGCCATCGCGTGGCCCCACCTCCGAACCCGAGTTTCACCCAGGCTTATTCACGCCATTTCCTGTGAGGAGGCCGGAGCAAGTAAGTTTGAATTCTGTATCTGCGCTTCACATAGATTAGCGTGGACTGAAAGAAATCACTACTCCAAGCGTTGCATTCGCGCCCGAGAGGTAGCCGCGTAGCGACGAGCGCAATTGATGGCACGCGGCACCCGACGACCTACGATTCTGTTAGCCGCTGAAGAATATATCTTATAATTGATAAAATAATTGAGCGTCAATTTTTTCTTTATTTTCTCTTCGTTTCCTGCCCAAGTCTGTTTTCTCCTCCTTCGTTTCCTAAAACTATTGTTGTGGTCTGCACTTGTAGATTGGTAATGATATTATCACTGACGTTTTTTATCTCACAGGGTTTAGTTCTCTTGGTCTCAGGACATCTGTCAACCGTGAGCCTTGGCGGTTCAGCGTTTTGTAGTGATGTCTGGGAGCTCTCACAAGTGCACACTATCACAGCATCTCCTTCTTTATCTTCTTCAAAAGGCTTAGTCCCAATAAGACACAAAGTGTGTGCTTTTCCAGCTACGCTCTCACCCTTTGGTTGACAGAAGCCTTGTAACCAGTTCCCTTCATGTACTCAAAGTATGTACTGAATCACAAAAAAAATTTTAGCTCTTCATTTTAGGATCGTATAACTTCAATTTTAAAGCGGCCGTGGTCGCTTTCAATTTAAGTAGGGAGAGTTTATCCAATCGAATAGATTGTGTACGTTAGCATGATATCGGCTACCGGGATGAACGCGTGAAAAAGCTTGTCTTGGTCGCTGGCTTGTTCAAAGCGAAAATCAGAGGGGAGAAAGCGGGCACCGATTCTTAAGTTCTAACCTGGTTTTCTTGCTTTTCCTTCTCTGCGTAATAACTGTTTGCACTATTTTCACAAACATTTTTCCGCGCCATTTCTGTAAGAATTCGCTCTTAAAGGCAGTGGTCACTATGGTTACAGACGCAGTGATTTCGATGATTTGGGTGTCTTTGGTGAAACGGAATGTGGTTCCAACTATTTCACCAGCGAGGTGTATGTGAGGGAGAATCGTCGGAATCCCCACACTACCCGTCGTGACCCGGGTTCGTCGCAATTGCAATGGAACGAGTTTTTTTTGTGTTGTCGTCATTTCGAGATTTGAATGTTAAAGGACGCCAAGCTGGCTCATCTTTACATTCAACTAATCAGTGCGCCGATGGTTTCAGGTCCCTCAAAGCCTTTTCCTTTCAATATTGCCATAATGAACGTAGAAAACAAATTTAAGTGAAACTCGGGTTCGGGGGGGGCACGCGATGGCGCGGCGCTCTGTTCGTCTGCTCCTCCAGGGCTTAGTCCACAGGGACAGTTACTCTTTCGCCATTATGTGGCAGTTTCAAAATACGCGCCATCGGTGACTAAGCCT